CTTCAGCAATCAGGAGCTCCTCAGTTGCTCATAGAAAATCCCACCTTGGAGTTTACGAAGACTTATGGGTAGAAAAGCCACACTAAGTAATTTACTACACTGCAACATTTCTGTACTTTTTGAGAGCTGGTGATGGTTGTTTTTGTTTAATGGACATATATATAATTTTTTTTTTAGAAAGACAAGGCAAAAAGAGAATATTGAATGTTTTCTAAGTTCCAACTAATAACATAGGTGTTTTCAAGAGCAGCAGCATCTCCACTTGGTTCCCAAGCAGTCACGCTCCATAATTGGTGTTAGGTGGTTGTAGAACAGAGGCTTATTCAGCAGAGAGATGGAACAACAGGACCCCACTTGTCCAAGTAAAGGCTTTGGAAGAAAAGGGAAGAGTAATAAGTTGACTTTGTGTGAGTAGATGCTGGTTATGGTGCGAAGCTGCAGGCCATTGATTAAGAGCCACGGTTTCTGGCAGCGAGCAGCATGTGTGACATCCTAGGATAAATGAGGATGAAGGGCTGGAATGGCCATGTGCCGGGGTGAGCTATCAATTTTGATAATGTGGTTGAGGTGGAGCAGGATCTTGAGAGCATGAAGTCTAATTTAGTTATCATGAGCCAGGCCCAAGGGCCTTGTCATATATGATAAAAGTGCTTCCCAGATTAGCTCAGGAAGGTGGAGGTGGTTCCTGGAATGGCTCTTAGCAATTCATAGTATCGACAGAGTAGAGGACACTCTACTCTATGATTTTACAACCATGTTAGACCGAGAGATACTCTTCTTTACTGGGTAGCACATTCGATTAGCTGACAGATTTGAGGTCTTTGTGCAATTACCCAGAGAAGAACACTGGGGATTGTTGTCTGTTGCTGTGTTCACACCTCAGTTACTGGCTGATGGAGGAGTCTTACCTCTTTCTTTCAGATAAAATAGAAGGGCAGTTAGACCGGGTGGCTGCACAGTTCCTCCTATAATTCTATGACCAATAAAGAAAACAGTGTCCCTGGCTAAGTTGGGACAGACAGTGTCCTTTAGGAGACAGAAGCTCAGCACAGGTGTAAGGGACAGGGCCCCAAGAGGATCATATAAAATTGTGAGATACTGGACGTGATTTCTGCAGAGAAGGAAGGCACGTACATCCTAACACCTAAAGGGCTGTCTGTAATTGAATCCCTGCAAAGGCAGCTCGGTAAATGAATACAGGGCTCCTGGAAAGCCAAATAGGCCCAGCCTGGGAGAGAGACGGGTTAGGGCTAAAGCTACATAAGTGGCTTAGAGAAAAAAAAAACAGGTGAAGTAGCTGCAGAAATAGAAGAGGGTGTTGCGGCAGCTTCAGCAGACCAACCACTTGTCACCCTTAAAGAGTAGGGAAAAAGAGCCAGGTGTAAGGGGAGCCCATTGAGGGGATATCAGCCATCCTCCTACTGAAGTTGGGGACTAGGCAGAATAGCACAGTAGTAAAGCCATTGTCTCTGGAGCTGCATTGCCTAGGGCCTGATTCCAGTTCTGCTACTGTAGCTATGCAACCCTGAGGAAGTAACTTGGCCCTCTGTGTCTCAGTTTTCTTACCAGTAAAATGGGAGTAAAAATGCCTGTTACCTAGGACTATTGCAACCCAAGTCTCTAATTGTTTTTTTGTTTTTGTTTTTTTAATTTTTATTGTAATTTGGGTGAAAGTTTACAGAACAAATTCATTTTCCATATAGCAGCTCACATACACTTTGTCTCATGACATTGACTGCAATAATTAAGTGGTTTTTGATTTATTTGAGTAAACCA